CAATAGAGCTTTGAAAAATGTGTCCAATTCAACAAAATGTTTTTTTGTGAGTGTCATTGATTGTGTTATTACAAGGTGAGAGAAAATAAATCCACATCCTCCTGTTAAACTTATTTTATTTCCTTTTCCATGTTATACTTATACTTACTTGTAGTAGAACATTTGCATGTTGAACTACATGATATCTTCCCCAGCCTCAAGGAAATACAATAAAATAAATGGATTCATAATTTTAAAAAATTGATAAAAATGTATACATTAATAATGTTGTGCGCAAACATTTCAAATTTAAATCCAAAAGGAAAAAAAAGTTTACTTTTGAAATTATTTCTCACAAAAACCTTTCTAAATAGTAAATTGTTAAAAAGGGTTTAGTCAATATACGTGCTTCTGCCTAAAATAGTTTACATTGAACGTAAACTATATCAAACACCACATGCATGGCAATTAACCCATTTTTGCCCGCTATTTAAATTGACTTTGGTTGAAGTGAATACAAATATATATGTATCTGTGTATATATATATATATATATATAGCATATCATTGATGCAGTCTTTCTGAACACTTTTTAAATAAAATACTGCAAATGAAGAATATGTGTAATGTTCTGCACAGATAGTGCCTTAACTTGAATTTGAAAACACGTGGCAGCTTTATTAATACAGCAGATGAAAAGATTTGTGGAAGGATACATTCTTCATGGGCTTCAATGGCTCTCTAGATAAATGGTGTTTTATGGTTGCTTGTTATCCTCAGATAGTGGTTTGTTTAAATAACTAGTGACATTTGAATAAATATTGCAAAAAAGGGTGCCAAAAAAGGCATATATATAACCTGGCCGGCTTAGCCAGTGTGTATTTCTTCAAGCACCACAAGATTCAGAGTTTATAAAGTAAGTACACAGTAAAAGTACTTCATAGTACTTGTGGGGGTAGTTTCACTAGTACTGAGTCCAACAGGATCAATCTCACGAAGAACTAATGGCAACAAAAAAGAATTCCCTCATCAAACTTAGCAGAAGTGGCTTGATGTTGTTCTCAGCAGGGGACTTTGACAGAGGATTTCTCAAACAATACACAGTAAAAGTACTTCAATGTATTGTAAGTAGTAACTAATACAAAGTCAAACAGTATCAATTTCATTAAGAACTAATGGTCAAATTATATTTTTAACACTCATCAAAGATAGCATAAAAACATGCATGATGTACTATGGAGGGGACTCTGACAGAGGATTACTGACAAGGTACACAGTAAAAGTACTTCATTTTATTTCTGGTAGAAGTCAAACTAGAACCGAGTCCAACAGTGTCAGTTTCCTTAAGAACTTGTGGTAACAAATATTTGTATCACTCGTCAAATATAGCAGGAAAAAAAACAAAGAGCAGCTGATTTGAAAAACAAACTCGAGAGACGGCTGAGGTGACCGCAGTGCAGAACCTCCTAACAATGTTGACCATTTTAGACATAGGCTTATTATTTTTACAGCCCTTAATAACATTCATTTTCTGGGCTCAATATGTGTATATATGTGAGAAATATATGAATGTGTGCATTGAAATATGATAATATGAGAGCAAAATGTATGAATGTGTGAGTTATATACGTGTGTGAGAGTGAAAATATATGTATGTAGAAGGAGAATGTATGTGTGTGAGAGGGAGAATGTATGTGTGTGAGAGGAGAATGTATGTGTGTGAGAGGAGAATGTATGTGTGTGAGAGGAGAATGTATGTGTGTGAGGAGAATGTATGTGTGTGAGAGGAGAATGTATGTGTGTGAGAGGAGAATGTATGTGTGTGAGAGGAGAATGTATGTGTGTGAAAGGAGAATGTATGTGTGTGTGAGAGGAGAATGTGTGTGTGTGTGAGAGGAGAATGTATGTGTGTGAGAGGAGAATGTGTGTGTGTGAGAGGAGAATGTATGTGTGTGAGAGGAGAATGTGTGTGTGTGAGAGGAGAATGTATGTGTGTGAGAGGAGAATGTGTGTGTGTGAGAGGAGAATGTATGTGTGTGAGAGGAGAATGTGTGTGTGAGAGGAGAATGTATGTGTGTGAAAGGAGAATGTATGTGTGTGTGAGGAGGATGTGTGTGAGAGGAGAATGTGTGTGTGAGAGGAGGATGTGTGTGTGTGAGAGGAGAATGTGTGTGTGTGAGAGGAGAATGTATGTGTGTGAGAGGAGAATGTATGTGTGTGAGAGGAGAATGTGTGTGTGTGAGAGGAGAATGTATGTGTGTGAGAGGAGAATGTGTGTGTGTGTGTGTGTGAGAGGAGAATGTATGTGTGTGAGAGGAGAATGTATGTGTGTGAGAGGAGAATGTGTGTGTGTGAGAGGAGAATGTATGTGTGTGAGAGGAGAATGTGTGTGTGTGAGAGGAGAATGTATGTGTGTGAGAGGAGAATGTGTGTGTGTGAGAGGAGAATGTATGTGTGTGAGAGGAGAATGTATGTGTGTGAGAGGAGAATGTGTGTGTGAGAGGAGAATGTATGTGTGTGGAGAGGAGAATGTGTGTGTGTGAGAGGAGAATGTATGTGTGTGAGAGGAGAATGTGTGGTGTGAGAGGAGAATGTATGTGTGTGAAGGAGAATGTAGTGTGTGTGAGAGGAGAATGTATGTGTGTGAGAGGAGAATGTGTGTGTGTGAGAGGAGAATGTATGTGTGTGAGAGGAGAATGTGTGTGTGAGAGGAGAATGTATGTGTGTGAGAGGAGAATGTATGTGTGTGAGAGGAGATGTGTGTGTGTGAGAGGAGAATGGTATGTGTGTGAGAGGAGAATGATGGTGTGTGAGTGTTGAGAGGAGAATGGTTGTGTGTTGAGAGGAGAATGTAGTGTGTGTCGAGAGGAGAATGTCTGTGTGTGAGAGGAGAATGTATGTGTGTTGAAAGGAGAATGTATGTGTGTGATGAAAGGAGAATGTATGTGTGTGAGAGGGAGAATGTGTGTGTGTGAGAGGAGAATGTATGTGTGTGAGAGGAGAATGTATGTGTGTGAGAGGAGAATGTGTGTGTGTGAGAGGAGAATGTATGTGTGTGTGAGAGGAGAATGTATGTGTGTGAGAGGAGAATGTATGTGTGTGTGGAGAGGAGAATGTGTGTGTGTGAGAGGAGAATGTATGTGTGTGTGTGTGAGAGGAGAATGTATGTGTGTGAGAGGAGAATGTATGTGTGTGAGAGGAGAATGTATGTGTGTGTGAGAGGAGAATGTATGTGTGTGTGAAAGGAGAATGTATGTGTGTGTGAGAGGAGAATGTATGTGTGTGAGAGGAGAATGTATGTGTGTGAAAGGAGAATGTATGTGTGTGTGAGAGGAGAATGTATGTGTGTGTGAGAGGAGAATGTATGTGTGTGAGAGGAGAATGTGTGTGTGTGAAGGAGAATGTATGTGTGTGTGAGAGGAGAATGTATGTGTGTGTGAGAGGAGAATGTATGTGTGTGAGAGGAGAATGTATGTGTGTGAAAGGAGAATGTATGTGTGTGAGAGGAGAATGTATGTGTGTGTGAGAGGAGATGTATGTGTGTGAGAGGAGAATGTATGTGTGTGAAAGGAGAATGTATGTGTGTGAGAGGAGAATGTGGTGTGTGTGAAAGGAGAATGTATTGTGTGGAGAGGAGATGTATGTGTGTGAGAGGAGAATGTGTGTGTGTGAGAGGAGAATGTGTGTGTGTGAGAGGAGAATGTATGTGTGTGAGAGGAGAATGTATGTGTGTGAGAGGAGAATGTATGTGTGTGAGAGGAGAATGTATGTGTGTGAGAGGAGAATGTGTGTGTGTGAAAGGAGAATGTATGTGTGTGAGAGGAGAATGTATGTGTGTGTGAAAGGAGAATGTATGTGTGTGAGAGGAGAATGTGTGTGTGTGAAAGGAGAATGTATGTGTGTGAAAGGAGAATGTATGTGTGTGAGAGGAGAATGTGTGTGTGTGAAAGGAGAATGTATGTGTGTGAGAGGAGAATGTATGTGTGTGAGAGGAGAATGTATGTGTGTGAAAGGAGAATGTATGTGTGTGTGAGAGGAGAATGTGTGTGTGTGAAAGGAGAATGTATGTGTGTGAGAGGAGAATGTATGTGTTGATGAAAGGAGAATGTATGTGTGTGAGAGGAGAATGTGTGTGTGTGAAAGGAGAATGTATGTGTGTGAGAGGAGAATGTATGTGTGTGAGAGGAGAATGTATGTGTGTGAGAGGAGAATGTATGTGTGTGAGAGGAGAATGTATGTGTGTGAGAGGAGAATGTATGTGTGTGAAAGGAGAATGTATGTGTGTGAGAGGAGAATGTATGTGTGTGAGAGGAGAATGTATGTGTGTGAGAGGAGAATGTATGTGTGTGAGAGGAGAATGTATGTGTGTGAGAGGAGAATGTATGTGTGTGAGAGGAGAATGTATGTGTGTGAAAGGAGAATGTATGTGTGTGTGAGAGGAGAATGTATGTGTGTGTGAGAGGAGAATGTATGTGTGTGAGAGGAGAATGTATGTGTGTGAGAGGAGAATGTATGTGTGTGAGAGGAGAATGTATGTGTGTGAGAGGAGAATGTGTGTGTGTGAGAGGAGAATGTATGTGTGTGAGAGGAGAATGTATGTGTGTGTGAGAGGAGAATGTATGTGTGTGAAAGGAGAATGTATGTGTGTGAGAGGAGAATGTATGTGTGTGAGAGGAGAATGTATGTGTGTGTGAGAGGAGAATGTATGTGTGTGAGAGGAGAATGTATGTGTGTGAGAGGAGAATGTATGTGTGTGAGAGGAGAATGTATGTGTGTGAGAGGAGAATGTATGTGTGTGAGAGGAGAATGTGTGTGTGTGAGAGGAGAATGTATGTGTGTGAAAGGACCAGTATGAATTACGGCCTGTACGGCCTCTCATAGTTCAGCGTGTCAGGCAGCTACAGTATATCTTCTCCTTTATGATGTTAAATGTATTGAGATGTATTCTGAGCCCTGTTAAGCCATTTGTTTTTTTTAAATATAACTGCCAGTTCAACAATGTGATAGTTGATTAATGTCACCTTCAATGGCCACTGTCAGGATGTATAAGGGGATCCAGAGTGTGTAGCGTATCCACAGCATGGCGATGGAGGGTGTATCCATAACACACAGCAGCTCATGTGGGTACCTGTCATCAAACGGCACACATCCAAATATTAACTGAGGGCATACTGGTGCACTCTTACACAATAACCTACAGTTGATTTAATTATAAGGTGAGCACAGCCTTTTATTCATCACAGTAAGACATGCCTCGGTTCCCATAAGGCCATTACTCAACACTCATTTAATTATGATCTGCTACATACCAATGTATTCACAAACCTGACTGGAATAACTGTTCTGCAGACCCTCTTCACAAACTCTGAGAGGAAAATACTTGAACTACACTGTTAGTGTCGTAGCATGTTAGTCTGCACTAATCCCTTTACTCCGTTTGACTTCATATGTATACTCTATGCACTGTTTGTATGCATCATCTGTCTGTTCATCCATCCCATTCTTGCCTGAGGGGAATTTTCTTTACATTTTGCAAAAAGATAAACTAAATAGATTTTGTAGTTCAAAGGTCAAGGTCACTGTGACCTCACATGTCCCATTCTCCCCTCATCTTTGGATCGCCTTAAGGGAATCCTATCCTGAAATGTGGCACGAGTGTCCCCTACAACTCATCATCCCTGCGCAACGTTATCAGTTGGGAGTACACAAAATGTGTTTAACAAATTGAAATAAATCTAGGAGAAAAGCAGTTAATGCGCCTACATTCATTAAGATCTGACATTTTGCAGATTCTTGAGGTGAAGCGAAGTGAGTCATGTTCATACCGTAGGAGGTCCAGAATGTTCCACAAGAACAACTGTGCACACACAACGGGTTTACTCTGGATCTCCTCCAGCAAGATCACCATGATCAGCAGAATGTTCTTCTCCATAACCTGAAAAACAGACATGCACATTCCACTAGCGCTGAAAAAGGACAAAGTCATCTGGAATGCACATTTGAGCATTCACACAGAAAAACTGAGGGTGATACACACTTGCACAAAGCGAGGGAGGAGTCTGGCTTTCTCAATCCCGTCTGCGATGTGGAAGAGCTCCAGGATGGAGAGCAGCTGACACAGACTCATCACAAAGCCCACCGAGTAGAACGTGTCTGCTAAGGCATCTGCAAAGGCAAACATTACATTCCTTCAGAATGACACGACGACAGTATGGTGAAACTTGAGCCTATTGCTGCTCAACAAAAACTAAGTTGAGTTAAAGAGCTGTACTTCATTTTGATAAACCTTACCTTTACCAAATGTGAAATATCTGGCTATGGTATTGGCCAGTATCCATGTATGTCCACAGAACTGGAACAGGTTATACGAGAAAATATAGGCAAGCCGGAAGCTGAGCCTGTAAAAGAACAACATAGGCATTTGGTTTTTGTTGTTTGTCCTTCATCACTCTGGACATCTTACCCTGCCAGGTTTAACCCATTGTTATCCCTGGCTTCCTGGCACACTGAGAGTTAATGGAGCCGTTAGTGGTTTTCATTTCAGCTCTGATCCTCCTGCTGTGGCAAGTCAAAATGTCAGAAGGATCTGTTTACTGTATAACTGCCAATGAGGATGCTCTTTGATTATAATATTCTCTTAAATCATCTATCAGGAACTATTTTGAGTCAATTGAATTACATGGAAACACAGATGGAAAGTGCATTTGCTTATTCACTCTGTATACAATATTATACAATCTGTACTTAGTTCCATGGGGGTACTAAGTGCTGGTACTAAGTGCTGGTACTAAGTGCGGCAAAGTACTTGCTTGTGAAAGCGGCTCTTGAGAGTGAACCAAAAAATGAGCTCTTAACACCAAAATAATACCTAAAAGAGGATAAAAAGCTATATACAGCTGAGGGGAACGTTATGATGTTTTCACTGTTAGTATCCCCTTCTATATATAAAAAAGTGTACATATATACATATTGATAAGTGCAGCTTTAGCTACATTAAGCTGTCATCACATTCTTTATTTTTAAAATTAAAAATGGTTTGCAGAGAAGTCCTCCGAGGACACCTAGCCTGTGACATACAGTATGTTACAACATTAATATATATGGCTGCAAGCAATTTAGACTCCACCCTTTGTCAGAGTAATATAATATGACTTTGGCACAAATATGTTTTATATGTTTTTATGCACAAAAATGTGGAATTCTACTCACTGACTGATTCACTGACTGATTCACTGACTGCAGGAAACAGACACTCTCCCACCCTGTGTAGTTTTAAAACTCAGTGCATAACTTTTATAAGCTCATTTTAAACATAAACATGCAATTTAAGAAGCAGTCTGTCAGATACAGTTGAGCTCTAAGCCTACTTTACAGTATTACGTTGCTCATGCTGGTAAATGAAGCTTTGTATACGTTAAGCCTTACATTCCACAACACGCCCTGTGAATGAACACACATTCCTCTCACAGCGAGAGCTCACACCCTGGTGGAAAACTCTCATTACCTTCACTTACATTCTCTCAAAAGTCTCCTTTTGTTGCTGGTAAGAGAGGCATCTTATCATTCCTGTGTGAGCAGTATCATTTTGTGGTGCAGTTTGGAGCTCCTTGCAGCAGTTTTCTCCCAGTAAACTGAGACCCGCCTCTTAGTCCTCCTCAAGTGTGAGCAGACAAATGCTGCAATATTTGTGTTTTGTGCTGCTTCCTCAGGCTGATGTTAACGGTTATTGCTTTACAGCGAGTAGGAAGTGGACATTCCACGTGTGTGTGTGTGTGTGTGTGTGTGTGTGTGTGTGTGTGTGTGTGTGTGTGTGTGTGTGTGTGTGTGTGTGTGTGTGTGTGTGTGTGTGTGTGTGTGACTGTGTGTGAGACTGTGTGTGAGACTGTGTGTGTGTGTGTGAGACTGTGTGTAAGACTGTGTGTGAGACTGTGTGTGAGACTGTGTGTGTGTGTGTGAGACTGTGTGTAAGACTGTGTGTGAGACTGTGTGTAAGACTGTGTGTGAGACTGTGTGTGCGTGGGTGTGTCTATTGTGTTTGTGTTACGGACAGAGTGACGTATTTTAACACTTCTGTTCCCAACACTGACATTTTGAATGTCCTTCTTTAGGCAGGTCTCAAACACAACCATGAAGAAATGGTTGTCAAACAGTTTGGCTGAAAGAGCCAATAACTACTATCACAATTGTAATGTTTTCCATCAAACATAATAACTTTGACTATTGTGTAATTCTTCATGTGAACTAAAAAGTAGCTGAAAACAGAAATATTCAAAACAAAATCTCATGCTTATTTTTAAGTTTTATTTGAAAGGCTCAGGCATTTCCTAAAACTGTAGTTTTTCATAGTTTTCTGACTACAATTGTGTTTTGTTGCAAGGAGGAATGAAATAAGAAGCAAGAAGAAGTAAAACATGAAATGAATGAATTAAAACAAAAGAGAACAGAGATGAAGCTTTAACATCTCTCTACCAGTCTTATGGATAAACACATATCAGAGGATTTGCTTTCAGTAGGACAGTATGCACTGCCCTCTAGTGGTGGAAAGAGATCAGGGACCTGAATCAGGGTCAACGGTCACTCACAGAGAAGGCCTGCTGCTGGTTACTGTGTGGATGCATATGATACATCAGTTAGGATGATGAAATATTGAAGAAGAAAAAAATAGTAGAAAGGACTGGAGTCTGTTCCTCTCTGCAAAATCATCTATATTAATTTTCACCGAACTGTCACAACTGATTAAAGACATTGTTGTGTTCAAAGGTGATATGTCATCAATAACGATATAAATTCCTTCGAAGATAAGTGAAAACAAATATGTAAGTGGTGATGTTGACTTGTAGCAAATCTTGAGATAAAGTGTAGTTAGCTTAGCATTCCTACTCAAGTTAAGAGTGAAGAGCATGTAAGTAATATCAGCGTGTTTTTGTCTCTGCCAGCAGCGGATGAAGAACAGATTAGTGTCAGGACCTCGGCTAGGTGTTAGCTTTATATCCTCTCGGAAATTCTGCCACATTTTCTGTAGCTATCAAATGCTTGGCTGCACTCAAGAATGTGACTGCTGTATGAACGTTCTTCCACTGCTGCGGAGTCAGAGCTCCACGAAAAGATCCAGTTTGTGTTTCATTCTTGCCCCTCATATTACAAGAATGGACGGTTGAAGCACTTTTAGCTGCTTACACTTTATTAAACTTTTACATAGAACGTAGCATAACATTTACACCCTGGCTTCATCCGCATGCCTGCTCCGGTGTGTGTTCCCCTCAACAGGGTCCGTGTGGAAACATATAACAACTATTGTAACATCCTTTTTCTTTTTAAGTGTAGACCTCTACAAAATCACTTATTAATTTGTTTTCTTAAATACAAATTACAAAATACAATTTTCACTCAACATTTTTTCTTTTAAATCCCCCCCAAAGTCCTTGAGTCACATCACATCAGTGACCCCATATCAGTGTGCATAGTCCTGCAAGTACTGTGGCCTAACAACTGGTCGGCCAGCTCTGGTAGTCACAGTCTGTTGTGTGTCACACATGACTCTGTCAGGGGTTGTAACAGTTTCTGGAGTCGTGTGAGTGTCAACAGTCACCGTACGGGCTGTCACACTCGGTACTGTGCCCTGGACCCGTCTCAGGTGACGTCGATTCCTCCTTAGAACACCTCCATTCTCCAGCTGCACCGTGTAGGACCTGTGTCAACAGGCTCCACCACAGTAGCCGTCCTCCAGATCGTGTGTGGTTCGTAAGGCTGAACTCTAACCCGGTCTCCCTGTTTGAGCATGTCCATGTCCTTAGCTGTCCTGTTGTAGTATGTGGCTTGCTTCTCCTGCCTGTCAATCTGCTCTTGTGTTGTCTGTTTCACCTCGGGTTGTAGGAGACTGTCCCAAGTAGGTAGTAGAGTTCTGGTCCTCCTGCTAAGCAGTCCCTGAGCCGGGCTTGTAGTCAGTCCTTGAGTAGGTGTGTTGCGGTGATCCAACATAGCCAGGTACGGCTCCTGTCCCGCCGCCTTAGCTTTCAGCATCAGTCGTTTTGCAGTTTTCACAGCAGACTCGGCCTTCCCGTTGCTCTGTGGGTATCCAGGAGACGACGTTTTGTGCTCGAACTCCCACGGCCGACTGAAACGCTGGAACTCTTGGGACGAATACTGGGGCCCATTGTCCGAAAAAAGAATAAGCGGAATCCCCTGACGGGAAAAGTGAGCTTCCAGCTTCCTAATTACAGTACTTGACTTTGTATCAGGTAGGTAGTCAACTTCCCAAAAGTTGGAATAGTAGTCCACTGTAATGAGGTAGTTCTTATCGTTAAAGGTAAACAAATCTGTACCAACCTTGGCCCATGGTCTGCCTGGTACCTCATGTGGATGTAGTGTCTCTTTTTGTTGTTTCGTGTCAACTGATCTGCAAATGTCACATTTCACTATGAACGTTTTTATCTGTTCATTCATTCCCGGCCAGTAGACACATTCTCTCGCACGCCTGAGGCATGCCTCCACACCCAGGTGAGAGGAGTGGATCCGGCGGGTGATGTCCCTTTGTAGTGAATATGGGATGACAGCTCTCTCCCCTCTGAAGATGATGTCATCCTATACACTCAGTTCCTCCTGGAATGAGTAGTAGTGCATAATATCTATCGGTGTGTCTTTCTTATGTTTAGGCCATCCCTTCTGAATGGTGTTGCTAAGTGTCTGTAGCGTTTTGTCTCCTTGTGTAGCAGAGCGGATTGTGCTCAGTCTCTCTTCAGAGATAGGCAAGTAGGCCACCATATTGACCGTCTCAATCTCAACTTCCACTGTTCCTGCAGATGAGCTCTCTGGTAAGTATACTCTACTCAATGTATCTGCAAGTAACATGTCACGACCTGGGACATAAATCACATCAAAATCATATCTCTGAAGTCTGAGCAACATACGTTGGAGTCTCTTTGGTGCACTTAACAGTGGCTTCTTGACATTGTTCTCCAACGGCTTATGGTCACTCTGTACTGTCACTTTCCGGCCATACGTGTATTGATGGAACTTTTCCATGCCATAGACAATAGCTAAACATTCTTTTTCTATTTGGGCATAGCCCCTTTCGGTTGGTGTCAGCTCCCGAATGCTACAGGTTTCCCTTTTTGAGTCAGTGCTGAAGCATCACACTGCAATGTCAGGTCCTCTTGTGGGTCATAGTACTTCAGTACTGGTGTTTTGGCTATATTGTCCTTGAGCCTGCTGAATGCTTCTTCGTGCATTCCTGTCCATTCCCACATATTTTCCTTGTGTGTGAGCTGTCTCACAATCTCACAGTCATCGGACAGGTGTTTGTAGAATTTAGAGAGATCATTTACCATGCCCATCAGTCTCTGTACACCCTTCACGTCAGTTGGTCTTGGCATGTCTCTCACTGCCCTGATCTTCTCGGGGTCAATTTTCAGTCCATCTGCTGTCAGCAGGTGTCCAATATATGGCACCTCCTGCTGCCTCAACCTGAATTTCTCTGCATTCAGTTTAATATTCTTTTCTCTGCATTTGCTTAGAAACTGTCTCAATGTATCATCATGGTCTTTGAAGGCCATTTCTTGTGTGTCATCTTCTCCTGTGATCAATACGTCATCAGCTATGATGTAGATGCCTGGCAGACCCTCCAGTGCTTGATTCAGCATCCGCTGGAAAATCTCAGGTGCTGGGCTGATTCCCATCGGCATCTTGAGCCACCTAAATCTGCCAAACGGTGTAGCAAATGTTGTTAGATAGCTTGACTCCTCCAATTTCACATGCCAAAAGCCATGTTTGACATCACAGACTGTGAACACCTTCGCTCTCGACAGGTCTGGAAGGATGTCATCAATGGTAGGAAGTGGGAAATGGCTCCGCTTTAGAGCCTTGTTCAGTGGTCTTGGATCAATACATATTCTTGGCTTGCCATTAGGTTTCTGCACTGTGACAAGACTACTTATCCAGTCTGTGCTTTTCTCCACAGGTGTGATGATCTCTCTCCTTTGTAGATCCTGCAGCTCTAACTTGAGAGGAGTCATCATGGCAACCGGGACTCGTCGTTTGGGGAGTTTCACCGGCTCCACCCTCTCGTCGATCTCGATCTTGTACTCTCCTTCCAGGCAGCCGTCACCTGTGAACACATCACTGTACTCCTTCTGTATTTGTTGCATGTGTAGACCACCGTGGGCTGATTTCACTTCAGTGACAATACTGTCAATAGCTAGTATGTTCTCATACTGTACTTTAATGAGTTTCATGGCTTCGCTTGCCTTCTTTCCCAACAGTGGTAGTCTACAGTCCTCATTCACCACCTCAAACTCCAGGCGGTACTGTTTTTGGTTCCTTGGGTTTCTCACCTTCACCTTGCATTTGCCTGGTGCAGGGGTGGGGAACAGCCCCCAGGCCGTATACGGCCCGCGAGACCATTTGGTGTGGCCTTCGAGGTAATTTATAAACACACGCAAAAAATTAAAGAAATCTAGACCGCAAAATAATTAAACAAGTGAGTGCCTGTTTTTCCTGGTCAGGGTCCTTGAACACAACACAAGCCTAACGTGTCATCACGTGGTATATATCTCGTCTGACAGGGGTGTAGTTCTGACGGGGAGCACCAGAACGCAGCTCCGCTCCGGCACTTCCAAAAATTGCAGTACCCATAAGGAGCCGTACACATGCTGCAGTTTTTGCGTGGCTGTGTCTTTAGCTGAAAGCCCAGTGGCGATCTGTTCATCTGTCATACTGATCATACAGTCAATAACTTTGTTGTTATTAGCATCTGGTTAGCTAGCTATGCTAACGAATATCAGAAGCTTTTTCTACTACCAGTGAGGTAAAGGCACATCTTTATATGATCATTCTAGTTATAAAAAAATAAGAGAATAAAGTAAACGGGTATAAAATACTATATGACAGTAAAAAAAAGTTGTTATTAATAAACAAGAATACAGTTTGAAAGGAGAGTGATTTGTAAAATATCCATAAAGAAAAATAAAATCTGCTTACAGTTATGTTTCATCTGGGTGTTGTGAGATGTATCCATAGATCTAATGTTACTCTCAAAGTGCACCAGATTGATGCTTTTAACTTCAACATTTAAAAAAAAAATCTTCCCGGGGGTGCATGCCCCCGGACCCCCCTAGAGGAGGTTAGTTCCCCCCCACTTAAATCATGTTCACATGGATAGGAAACTAAATACATTTGCACACATCTTGTGTCCATATCTTTCTGTTTTGGTGGTCATGCCACAACCGTGCACGTGCATGCATGCGCGAGTCATGGTGAGATATCTGGATTAAGAGGTTGCTTTTTTTTTGCACATCATGAAAGAAAGGTGAAATGAGTTGGCTGTGATTTTAGTATTTTTAAGCAGAGGTCAATAATTTGTACGGCCCTCGGAGGATGTTGAAAACATTGAAATGGCCCTTGAGAGGAAAAAGGTTCCCCACCCCTGGCCTAGTGGATGCAGCCTGGTCTTGTTGTACATTACCAGCACTGTCTTAGTGCTCTCCAGCCGAGTTTCAGGGCTCAATAGATTCACAGGGATGACATTACAGCTAGCTCCACAGTCTATCTGAAACTTCATCAGCTCCTTGCCGATTAGCATCCCTGTGAAAAGCTGGCTGTTCTTGGCTTTGTCTTCCCCGGCCTCTTTACCAGTCAGTCAGTATCTCTGTAGTGGTGACACTCAAGATGTCCTCATATTCCTCACTGTCCTGTTCAGTCACTTGGTGTACTTGTCTTCCTCTCTTGTCTTTATCCTGTGTGGTTTTACATTTGACAGCAAAATGATTTTCTTTACCACATTTTTTGCAGCGCTTTCCAAAGGCTGGACACTTGTTCTTGTCCCTTTCATGTTCTTATCCTGCCATGCTGTCTGTTTCATCATGTGCACCTCCTCCACTGTATGTCTTGCAAGGGTTCTACTATTTTCACGTGACAATTCTGTATCCCTGCACAACTGTAGGCAGTTGTCCAATGTCAGGTTGTCCTCCCTGAGCAATCTCTCTCTCAGTCCTGAATCCATAATGCCACATACTATTCTATCACGAATGAGTGAGTCCCTTATTTGTCCAAAGTTGCATGTGCTGGCTAACATTCTTAGATCAGTGACATATGTATCAATGTTTTCATCCTGTCCTTGATTTCTCACGAAAAACCGATATCTCTCCCACTGTTTCATTTACCTTGGGGTTGATTGCAACCATCCATCGAATTTGTCAATGATGTTCTTCACTGTCCTCCTGGCTGTAGTCACATCACTCATCAGAGTTTCACAAAGTTCTCTACCAGTCTCACCAATCAGGTAGTAGAACAATTTCACCTTCATTGTTTCTTCTGCCTCTGGCAAAGAAAGCTCCAAGTAAAGTGTAAACTCCTCTTCTCATGATTCCCATGACTTTGTAAGATTGCCAGAGTCCAAACACAATGTTGATGGGGGTTTCAAACCTTCCATGGCCGACCGACGAGCGTCTTCCCCAGCCCACTGCTTGTTATTAGCTACAGGCTAGCTGGTTAGCTGCACAGCAAAAGTTTGTTTTCTTTTTCTTCTTTTGTACTGCTCTCTTACTTCCAAGTTTCCAATTTCCGCTGCCACCATGTTTCATTCTTGCCCCTCATATTACAAGAATGGACGGTTGAAGCACTTTTAGCTGCTTACACTTTATTAAACTTTTACATAGAACGTAGCATAACATTTACACCCTGGCTTCATCCGCCAGTGGTGAACCGTCAGGGCCTTCAAGGTATTCAGAGAATACCCTGGAACACTCAGATAAAACAAAAACAAAAATCGAGTTAATTATATAAATAAAGTGTAATAAAATGTATATAAAATGAAAATGAGAATTGTATCTGTGTCGTTGAGCGGTGGTGGCGAAGTCGATAGGGACTTGGCTTGGCAACTGGAAGGTCACCAGTTCAAGTCCCAGCAAGACAAAGTGCTACCGAGGTGTCCCTGAGCAAGGCACCGCTCCCCGGGCGCCTTCAAAATGGCTGCACACTGCTCCTAACACAGGATGGGTCAAATGCAGAGAAACAATTTCCCCACGAGGGATTAATAAAAGTCCATCTTATCTTATCTGTAATATTACAGTGTTACGTTGATTTGTTTGTCCTTCTCGGACCATGCTCTACGCATTTCCGTGGTTTTGTGTTAGAAAAGAAAGCAACCAATCAGATCTTGTTCTGGGTCTCTGGGTAGAATGTCCTTCAACCAAGGTATTCTACATCCTTGATAGAATGCCCTGGCCGTTACACTGAATGAGAGCGTACGTTTGGACTGACAGTTTGATCAACCAATCATATATTGATTTGTAGCCAATGGGCGTATTCTTTCAGAGTTTCCCTCGGTTCCAGGGTGCTCTAGAGCAGTGGTTCTCAACTGGTCAGGCCTCGGGACCCACTTTTTACTTGGTCAATACATCGCGACCCAACATTTTGAAGCACTCAAATCTATTCAACAAAAAATCGTGCTGTAATATATACGCTTTTCAGCATACAATATTAATAAAAGTGAAGTACAGTGCATATATCCCTTATATCCCTTCACAGAACTAAAGTATGCTTTTAAAAAGGTTTAATGAGATGATGGAATCAAAGCTGAACTATATAAAAAGGCACACATGCTGAAAACCCATCTCCAGAAGGGGGGTCTGGGGGGATTCTTCCCCAGGAGATTTTTAGAAATACTAACATAAACTATGCATTCTGGTACACTCTGAGAAGAAAATAAATAAATCTATTACTAGCTACCCGACATATTAATAATATGTTATGCCATTGTTTGTTTTTCACTTTGTTCTGACATCTTGCTGCGAGAAGAGTAAAGAGGAGATAGTCTGTGTGACTTACTTTAAATTGTGGGTAAGGGTAGATAGCTCCCATTGTTCTGTGACCTGTCAGTCATCAAACCGGGGGTCATATTTCATTATGTGTTCATTTTTATCTGAAGTTGTACCCATGGATGTATAAAGAAGAGTTCTACCGCTAAGTTATTCTCCGTGGGGACTTCCGGCAACAATCTTGATTCTGATTGGCCAGAAGACTCGAAAAAACATCAGCAAAGATATTTTATTGAGAAGATGATCACTATGTGACAGAAGTTTTCAAACCGTTTATGGTCTCCGCTGTACTTCCAGTCCAACGCCGACGGGGGGGGGGGGGGGGGGGGGGGGGGGGGCGGCGGGGGGTGTGTGTGTCTACAGAAGGTCCAGTTGTGATAAGGCGCATTCACACCGCAGTACTTTTCCCACAAAGGTTCATGAGAACTTAGTTCATGAGAACTCTTTAGTTCTCATGAACTAAATACAGATCGCGTTCACACCGGAATAAGTTCCTGGGGGAGGATTAGGCAAATGAAGCCGCTGATGTCACTTCTTCTTCTTCTGCTTTGGGTTTACTGGCAGGCCGCAAACCACTTCACGGCGTATACTGCCGCCCAAAGTCCCCAGCCGGAAGTCCCCGGAGTTGGGACTCCCAGCAACTCGACTGAAGCCTTCCGAGTAAATCGCCAGAACGCCGACACCTCCTCATCTCCAAAACTTTTTGGGAGTTTTACAGGGCGTGGTTTGCAATCCGCCCAGCCAATCAACTGCGGTCAAGCCAGCCGTCTTTCACTTTTGCGTGGTCAAACCAGCCGCCCCTGTATTTCGAGTGCGCGATTAGTTACAGGTTTACGGTAATGCAATAAAACAACCCTGGGAAGCTGGACGTTTCGTATGTGCAGGAACACTTCCGGTGAGGATTTCAAAGTAAAGGATGGCATGTGGTTCATTTATATTATCTGCGATTGAGGAACAGGGTAATTTATGAGAATAATGTTAGGATTTATTGCTTCATAAACTTGTTGCACAAATACTATGAACTACTTTTACTGGGTACTTTTTGAGAATGGCAAAAGTCCCTCCAGAGAACAAGAAGGAGCATTTTCGTCAACTTTAATGTGGTCTAAAAAACATTTCTTCCATAAGTAGTTTATGAAACTGCCATGTTTGTACTTAGTACTTCTTAGACTACTTGCACAAATAATATGAACTACTTTTACTGTGTACCTTTTGAGTAATTTGAGTTTCAAAGTCCCCTCCGGAGAACAAGAATGAGCATTTGTGTCAACTTTAATGTGGGATAAAACACATTTCTTCCATAAGTAGTTTATGAAACTGCCATGTTTGTACTTAATACTTCTAGGACTACTTGCAAAAATAATATGAACTACTTTTACTGTGTACTTTTTGAGTAATTTGAGTTTCAAAGTCCCCTCCGTAGAACAAGAATGAGCATTTTTGTCAACTTTAATGTGGTCTAAAAAACATTTCTTCCATAAGTAGTTTATGAAACTGCCATGTTTGTACTTAGTACTTCTTAGACTACTTGCAAAAATAATATGAATTACTTTTACTGTGTACTTTTTGAGTAATTTGAGTTTCAAAGTCCTCTCCAGAGAACAAGAATGAGCATTTGTCAACTTTAATGTGGTCTAAAAAACATTTCTTCCATAAGTAGTTTATGAAACTGCCATGTTTGTACTTAGTACTTCTTAGACTACTTGCAAAAATAATATGAATTACTTTTACTGTGTACTTTTTGAGTAATTTGAGTTTCAAAGTCCTCTCCAGAGAACAAGAATGAGAATTTGTGTCAACTTTAATGTGGTCTAACAAACATTTCTTCCATAGACATATGACACTGCCATGTTCTTCTGCCCTAGTTGCAGAGAAAGCAATTCCAATTGCTTGCCCTGGCTTCTTGGAGTTGGTCCTGATTCATCCCCAGGCACTGCTCATGGAACCATCTTTCACAGGTGTCACACTGTATCTGTAAAATGAAATGAGTGACCATCAAATCTGATACATCTTGTCATCGGAAATGATGAAGTAATGAAGTGCAATAGAGAATAATTTTGGCAAAATTAGATTCATGTCAACTTTATTACATGTAGCTATAGTCTGTAGCATACTCACCTCAAACACCAGTTTAATATCTGAAAATAACTATATTATGTCTACATTTTCAGTTTTTCAAATAAAAATGTTTTTTAGGTAGTTATAGGTAGAAGATTTATAGTTCTGGGAAAACCCCATGTTGCATCACTATAATGTAGTTACCTTTTGGTATTCTTAATTGGTCAGTTATGTATTGCATACGAGCTGCTTCTCCCTGCTTCCCATATTTTGATAGTGACTTACAGGATGTTGGTGTGTGAAAGAGGACAACAGCAGATAACACACACAAACCTCTTTCCAAGTGGTCCGTTTTACATTAGGAGTGTTGCCTCAAGTTATAACTTGGTTTCCAGGCCTGATCTGGTGGACATGTACCGTCAGTCTCCCAGCGGCATAGAGTGAGGTGGAGGAACCGCGGGGTGCGCTAATTCAGTGCCCCATATTGCTATTTTCCAAGCTAATGTAGCTTTGTCATATTTGTCAACGCTGCATTGAGGCTATTGTCATCATGTGGGTGGACTTAGACTCAAACCTGGGGTGAAGTTACACTTTAATTTAATATGTTGCTATTAGACATGATTAGAATTGTCAGTATCCCTATTCCACTACTCATCACATTTTATATTCTCTCTGTTCATTATATGTGTAAACAATGTATATACATTACCATTTATCTGAGAGAAGTTGTCTTGACTGTTTTGTTAGTAAATCAATTTATATCGGTTCCACAGT